CCTCTTCTTTGTTTGGGATTTGGAGGTGCCTAGATGAGGCCCAGCTGTGAAGCAATGCAAGCTGCTGTGGGGCCTTGGGCCTTCTTTTGGATGTTCTGGGTCTTTCTGACCCAGCTGCCGTTTGTTAGGTAATTTTAGATTGCAAAGGGTCAAGGCATTTATATGCAAAAGCCTCTGTGCACAGCTTGAGTGGAGCGGGGTCTCAGGCAATCAACAGGGTGGAGAAAACAGCTATGGCTGATGTTTAGCCCTTCCCTAAGAGGCCCCGGGTCTCAGTGTCCCAAGGTAATCGCTGCAAGCACATCTGAGAGAAAGCCGCCCTAGAGTTCTGACCGATGCCAGACTATCCAGTGTCTCCCCTTATGTCCCCAGGCACTCACCCAGAACTGGAGTTCAGAGCAGTTGGGAGCTTTTGTCTCCCTCCCAATTGAAAAAAAACAACCACCGCGTACTCAGTTGCCAGCCCTTTCCACGTGCACCTCCATATCTCTGCATTTTACTTCCGTACCTCCTCTGAGTCTCAGTGTGCTTTTCTCTTTCCTTTTAGTTGTAGAATTTCCACTCAGCCAGCCTTCCCGTTGTTCTGATGATGTCCGTTTTGTCTTTTAGTTGTATTTTTGAAGTGGTTGTGCAAGGCAGCAATTTCTGGTGTTTACCTATGCCGCCATCTTGGTTTTCCTCCTCGTGATAGTTTATTATTGGTGTATATAAATGCAACTGAGGAATTTGCACATGGCTCACCAATTCTGCAAGTTTTGTGTTGCAATCCTTTCTTTTTCCTAATAAATACTTTTCGGTGATGGGGGGAAAAAAGCAACTGATTTCTAGGTATTAATTTTGTATCCTGCTACTTTTACTGAATTCATTGGTCAGTTCTGGTAGTTTTTTGGTGGAATCTTTAGGGTTCTCTCTATTCAGTATCATGTCATCTGCAAATAATGACAATATCACTTCTCCCTTTCTAATTTGAATGCCTTTTATTTCTTCTTGTCTGGTTTATATGATTAGGATTTCCAGTACCATGTTGAGTAAGAGTGGTAGAAGTGGACATCCATGTCTTGTTCCCTATGTTAAGGGAAATGCTTATAGTTTTTGCCATTGAGTATGATTTTGGCTGTGGGTCTGTCATAAATGGCCTTTATT